TAATTTCCAACGGTTAGGGAAGAACGGACGCGATATAATCCGATGAGATAGCTTTGGTTGACAAAAGGGTAACTTGGTTTGATAAGAGATCGAAGGCCACCAGTTGGATCAACTCCAGCAGCTTACAGCCCCGTCATTTGGATTATTCGAGAAATAAACCAAAGGCATATTTGCAAACGAAAAATAATTTATGAATAAAACTTGTATATACGTGTTCTTAACGATCTAAAAGCAAAGGCTGAAAAATAAACTACGATAAAAAAAAAACCCCAAAATTAACTCCAAATTTAAGGTTAAAAATTTAAATTTTGGCTGATAAGTACAAACGAAAAGGTGAGACCGTTGGTTTCTTGTAATGACCGTCTAAAGCTGTGTTTTTAGATCAGGGGTGTCACATCAGATATACGGACACATATTTAAAGTATTAAACATAGTCTAAACCGCGAGACGAATTTATTAAGCCTAATTAATCTATCGTTAGCAAATGTTTACTGTAGCACCACATTGTCAAATCATGACGCAATTAGCCTTAAAATATCCGTCTCACATTTTACACGCAATTTGTGTAATTAGTTATTTTTTTTTGTTTATATTTAATACCCCATGCATATGTCTAAACATTCGATGTGACAGGGTGTAAAATTTTACCGGGATCTAAACCGGCCCTAAAATAAACTGCCTGCGTGAAAACTACAGTTACCACGAAATGAAGACGTACGACTGTCACTGAGAAAGCCGTACGTTGAAATTGAGACAAAAGAGCCAAGCGATTAAGCTAGCTAGCCCCAGCAAAATTTGAAAGCGAGAATCAAGCTGCAAAATTTGAAGCGAGAATCAAGCTAGCTAGGCATCCAGTGAGAAAATCAATTGGAGGCCAATGAGCGGAGAACACCTGGAGTTTGGTGGAGCCAATGCAAATTGGCCAGTGGGATATATATGATGATGGCCCCGGATCTCTGTAGCATTTGAAATGACTGACTTGCAAACGACGAGCATGAGACAAAAACCAAGGCAGAATTTAAGCAGCAGCAGGAGTACATGTGTGTGTATATGGTCCCTCGTCTTTGCACAGAGTCTGTGTAGCTCTACCTGCCGGTGTCAGCCAGAGCTTAGCTAGCTAGCTAGGCAGAGGCCACATATATACTAGAGGTGTAGTACATGTATGATGTGTATATGTATGGGTCCTACGCACAATTACTACTGCCATTATTGTACGTAAGTATGTTGCCTAGCAAAGTGCAGAACAAGAGCTAGCCAGTTGGGTTTGGGTAGCTAGATCTCTCCAACGCTTTGTGGCCCTCGATCTATCTATCGATCCTGTGTGTGCATACACACTCAGATGCAGAGACGATCGATGAAGCAGATAAAATGTTTGTGTTTTCTCACAGCTTACCCTTTGCTGCACCTAGAGATCGATGTTGCCTAGCTAGAACAGATTCTTGTAACCGTGACGGGTCATCTGTAACGAGCTGTGCAGAACCGTTATAGATGATTGAGTCTGTAACGGGCTCGTTGGCCGCTTTATCCCCACAAGAATATAATGGAAGAAACAGCTAGAGCTTCAGCTTAGCTTACAGCCGCATCGTTTGGTTGTTCGGTGGAATAAAACAAACGGCATATTTGTAAAAAAAAGTAAATTTGTGAATAAAAACTTTTATATATATATATATATATATATATATATATATATATATATATATATATATATATATATATATATATATATATATATATATATATATTCTTAGCGATATAAAACTAAAGGCTGAAAAATAAACTTTGATGAAAAAACCTTAAAATCAACTTTAAATTTAAAATAAAAAAATTAAATTATTCCTGATAAACATAAAGCATAAGCGAAAAGACGAGGCCCTATATTTAGCTAGCTAGCTGCTGCGGCGCGACGATCGACGTCGACGGCAACGTCCGACCTAATAATGGCGATGGGAGCCCGCCGGGATCGATGGGGATCGAGAGCGCGCGGCGGGTCACCCGCCGGAGCCCAGGTACGGACCGACGGCGACGCGCGGGCGCGGCGTACGTGTCATGTGCGCTACAGGTCGCCACGCTGCCGCTGGCCTCTCTGTGTGTGTCGTTCGTTTAATTTTTGTTTGTTCCGTTGCGGAAGAACGCGCGGGAGCTAGCCCCACAGACCACCGTCGTCTGCAGCCTTCAAATTAATTAACACCCACACTGGCTAGCTACTACCCCCATATGCATGCATGTCTTCTCATTGATTCATTTGTCTTGGAGCCAAACATGCACACTAGTATATGTTGTTTGCATCTTGTGCTTTTTAGCACGGACATATACATCCACTGATCTTTATCTCTTTGGAGCTTTGCGCGCGTTCGAGTTACAATCACAATAATACACAAACGTTGAGTTGGCGTATCTTGAAATTGACGGAATCACCACGGATACTAGTTAGTATATATTTTTCACTCCGTATAACTTGATGATATCTAGTTGTACGTCTGGCAACAACAGAGGCTGGAAATAGTGTAAATTATTGATGTTATGTGAAAATTAATAAGCTAGGTAAGGAGTTTGAACTTAAGTACTATATATATATATATATATATATATATATATATATATATATATATATATATATACACAGTTGTCTACCTAGCTAGAGCTGCATGTACTATACGAAGGTTTCCCTGCCTGAATATTATACCAGCACGATCCTTCCAAAATTGAGAGCAATTGCAGCCGCTTTCAAGATCTGGCCCGACATGTCACGACATTAATAGCGCCCGCACACGTCCTCGCTCTGTTTGTTGATAATCTCAACTTAAAAGTATAGTACATGCAGTACTCTCGTTTTTTTTTGGGGGTGATTGGATGCTTACAGTGTACTTAATTTGCACTTCTAATGAAATCCATCTCCTCTAAAATATTAGCACCGTCATGTACATGTCCGACTATTCAGAGCTGCTTTTCGATTTTGTACTTTAATTCGATCCCCATCTCTGTCTATATATATATATATGCTGTGCCCTTGTATCATCCGCAAGAAAATAACTCCTTTTTTCAGATGATTCTCTTTGACCCCATATATCCTCTACTACTAGTGGTAATATTTTTTTTGACTGGAACTAGTGGTAATATTTAGGATTAGAGTTTATATATATACTGGTGGTAATATTTAGGATTATAGGTTTTTTTTCTCTACCTAGCTTCTTTATTTTGGAAAAGGACTAGCACGCAAATACGGAGAATCTAAAAGGGGGAGACGGCAAAAGCTAGCAACACAACCCAATAACAAGCCAAGTGAAAGGAGCTCAATTATCTAAAGAATTAGAAGCACTATTAATTTAGTGTATACACACAAGAGAATAAGATGCATCATCATTAATTATTGATTCCTAGCTGAGATTTTGCTCACAAACTATATTCATGCTTTAAGATAGTAAAATCAATTGTTTTCCTTCAAAGGGAGGATTAGATGCTAAGAAAAATACTATATGTACTGTACTATACATAGATTCTTGTGTGTGTGTGTGTGTGTGTATTGCAAGAATCAAATGGTCCAAAACATCATTTGCTCCATCGTTTTCTTGTTGGCCAAAATTTAAAATTTTAAACTTAATTTTAGAGTTGATTTTAATGATTTCTTCATTGTAGTTTACTTTTCAATATTAGCTTTTAAATCACTAAGAACATAGATATTGTCCAGTCAAAATAACACTGATAGATATTAAAAATTTACCCATAAATTATTTTTGGTTTCTTTGTTTATTTTTCCATAGCTTATCTGTCATAGAGCAAATTAACGATGATACTGTAGGTTATATTTGTGAACAATCCATTTCAGTGTACGTACGTCCTTGGCTTTACCATTGCAGTTGAGATGTCAGGCAATTGAGTGTTCCATTGTGACAGTACGTGTGACAATCCTTTTTACTATTGGTGTTTGCATCTCACTCTTTTTGCCACTGTAAGTTACTATACTGGCTGCATTCGTTTCCAGTAGTTAGGAACTCCCCCCTCTAGCACACAAAACAAAGCAATGGTTTAGTGCACGATTAATTAAATATTAGCTAAAAACAGTGAAGAAATGGATTGACATGATTTTTAAAAGCAACGACTCTCCTGTAGATTTTTTTTTCAAAAAGATGCACAATTTAACAGTTTGGAAAATGTATGCGCGGAAAACGAAAAAAAGTAGAGGCTAGGAATGTGTAGAGAAGAACACACCCCAAAAGTAGTTGCAGGTCAAGATGTATCACAACACATAGATATGTGTGCGTTACCGGCTACCTAGTTTAACACTACTACTCCATTAAAGACACACTTAATGATGAAAGCAATAAATGCAGCGAATCACGGGATGGTTGGATCGGTAAAGCGGTAAATAATATTTTAAAATATTTATATTTATGAATAAATTTTAAACGATAAAAATACTACGCAGAACTTTATTTAGATGAATTACAATATCCAACAAGATATATTAAATGAAGAGACACCACAGCGCTGGTAGGTACAAAAGGAGCACCTACATATATAACCCAAAGTTTAAATGAGGCACATGCGTGCATATACTGTGTGGGTAAATTTCTCGTATGGCACTAAAATTTTACGCCGATGCTCAGCTCCTCTGTAGTACACATCATGCACATATAACTACATGAGGTAGGGTCGTGGACCCACATGTTAGTGAGACACAGCACACGCCGATAGTAAAACCAACGGTTTCTTGTGAAGCTTCGAGTGAAAAAAAAATGATTGACGAATAGCGATCGATCTTGATAGCTAGCTTTAGCTACTATATGCATGTCCTTGCTTGATAAAAAGCGTATGTACAATCTGTGATCGATTTTCTTGTACATTTTTTTCCCCTGAGAATCAAGTGACACTAGCTCATCGTGGGCATTTCCGTTGCCACTAATCTACCGAACTCGAACGTGCGCGATATATGTCCGTCCACTGGCTCAGTGGCCAGTAACCTGATCCTGCGGAATAGTGTAACAAGGCCCCTATATTTAATCATGTTTAGCACAAGTAATTCCTATTGCAATTTGCAAACCAAACTTGCTTTTCTCTCTCTCACACACACACGGACACAGAGAGAGAGGGGTAGCCACACGCACGGCACAGTAGCGTAGACTGTGCTATAATGGAGGTGAATAGGGGGGAGGAGGAAGACGTGAACCTGGAGCTCACCCTCTGCTACACCTCGGCCTCCTCGCCGGAGCCCATCGGCTTCTTCCTCTGCATGTACTGCGACCGCAAGTTCTACAGCTCGCAGGCGCTCGGCGGCCACCAGAACGCGCACAAGTACGAGCGCAGCCTCGCCAAGCGCCGCCGCGAGATCGCCGCCGCGCTGCGCGCCCACGGCGCGCCGCCGCCGCCGCCCGCGCCCGGTGGCGCCGGCGCAGCTGCAGCTCAGAAGGCGGTGGGCGTGGAGGCGCAGCAGAAGCACCAGCACGCTCCCGTGGTCGGCGGCTTCGCGCGCGGCGGCGGCAAGAGCTCGCCGCCGGCCGCCGAGTACGGCGACGGGCTGGACTTGTCCCTCAGGCTTTGATGCCCTCCTCTCCGGCGCCGTCGGCTTCTCTTCGCTCGCTGCTGCTCTCTGTTGTTAATTTCTCGGTATGTCGTCGATCGAAGCCTACTTAATTAGCTAGCTTTGCCGAGTTCAGTCGTGCCAAATCTCTCAATTATTGGGCATTTTCTTTGTGTGTGTGAGTGTCAAGAACATGTTTTTGCATGCTGCTCTCGTGTGTTTGCTGGAATTTTTTTATCGATCTGTGCCTCCCTCTTCTGGTTGAGTTTGCTCCGATGATCGATGGAATTTCCCCCAATTTACCAGGAGAGATTTCGCCAATTGATGGAGATTTCGGCTGGTGTATGTTGTCTCCTTTTTTTTTTCCCTCTATCGATTAGCTAATTTGTTTTGGGCAGATCTGTAATAAAAAGTGTGTTTCGTTGAGAGGCTTCACCCAAATGATTTTTCAGATTGTGCATATTCCATGTGTGAATCTCCATTGACAATATCAGATTGGTGTACTCTTTAGCAATTAATCATACCATGCCCTCCTATTTCCCTCTTAAAATCAGGAAATACACTGCCTCCAGAAAAAAGAAAACAAATATGCTCCGGTGTTTTTTGTTTGGGATGAGATATGCTTTAATTCATTCTTTCCGCTCCTCAAAACGACAACATATATATATATATATATATATATATATATATATATATATATATATGTGGTTTGTCGATACGCTAATACTATATAATATATTGCCAATCACCACTTGGGCATAAACATATATAGGCTTATGTACACGTAGATAATAATCAACAAAAAATGTATTGCTTCTGAATCAGCAAGTAAACGCCTCATCTGTTCTTCTCTCTTTTGTTGACATGATAATCGGAAGAAATCAAACTGCATACTCTCCTAGCCAAGGGGAACTGGCATACTACTTAAACTTGTAGTATGTAATTAGTTCTGACAGTATTTCTTTTATTCTTGGAATGAATGGCAGAGCTCTGCCTTTTTTTAGATAATAGAGCTCCTGCCATTAGTTTAAAAGAAGTTTCTCACTGTCATCTATCTTTCTCTCTCTCACACACACACACTCACTCACTCTCTCTCTCTCTTTCTCTCTCACACACACATGTGAATGTACTGCGTACACTGTAAATGCTCTCATCAGCTCACACACACACACACTCGCTCTCTCTCTCTCTCTCTCGATCTCTCTTGTATCATCAATAGACGACTAGACCATTCGATCATCACTGATGAAATGACATCCACTGGTGAATATCTATCTTAGCTAGCTAGCTTTCTCCCAGCTGCAGTTTCTTGTGATATATATCTAGCCTTCTTTCAGTGTACAAATCTATCAAGAAATAACACACTATATGTCTCTCTAATTGATTAGTCCGGTTTTCAAAATTTTGATATGAAATTTCGGACCTACTAGTCCTATAGGGGTAAGCCACTCTGATTAAAGCTTCAATCCAAATCCCCCAATCTCCTCCTTCTTCCTTAAGGCTCATCCCTTTCGTGTGAATAAGCTAAAAATATGGCGCTAGAGAGTATCTCAATGCCCTCCACAACTGCGCTCCTTTTCCTCTCGGCATGACAAGGGCTCTCCACCACTCATAGCTAGCACGTTGCGCCAAATACTAATGTGCATCCCTCCACCTGTGTTACCACCTCCCAGTATTCTCTTCGTCAGTCTTTCTTTCCCTCCCGCCCGCTACCCAACAAGTTTCACACAAATGTTTCCACTCAAATGCATTGAAAAATTATAAGTACTTAAAAACCATATGAATATCTTTTGGATAGAATTGTGATATTTCAGAAATTTTGAGCACACCCAAAATTTATTTGCGTCCAAACGTTTAAAACATGTAGCAATAAAATAGTCAAGGATCATAGATATTGCATATACTAAGAGCATCTACTCTGTAGCGCATTATGCTACTAGCATTCTATCATTTATAATCATTGGTGGGACACATTTACTACTTTAGGAATGTATTTGCTGCAATGGTTATTAACTAAGCACTTCGGAGTAAACTTCTGTTAATATAATTTACAAATAAATTAATTTATGTTTTAGTTAATTAAACAAACCCTTTTGGTTGCATATACCTCTTCTTTCCAATAAATTTATGTGAACATCATTGGAAATAGCAAATAACAAATTAAACAAAGATTGTTTAATTATAGACATTGAAATAAACAAAGGAAGATGTGTTGTAATAATTTCAACATTCTTATTTAATTTGTTTTGAATGTCCATGTAATGTATTCAATATCTAATTGCAATCACTCACTCTAGTCATGAATACTTTTATTTGATATGGATATCCATTTATCATTTTGGACTTTAAATATCAAAATTTGCTTAAATATTTAGACTGGCATATAAATATGTATCAATTCATAATGAAAATATTAACTTCCATAATATCATAAATATAGTGAATATCATAAATATTTTAAAACAGAAACCAGTGGTCAAAATTGTGTTTAGAAGACCATATCATATAAACAAATGAAAGTGATGAGATAAAGTAATGCTTTTTATATATATCATAATGAGACTATAGATCAATGTTTTAGCTCACCCAATTAATATATGTTTACATGCACACAGAAGATTATTGTAAGAATATTTTAAATACATGAATTTACAAGGAAATTGTAGTTCAATATGATCCTAATGTATTTCATTAATTGAAGTGAAATTTTGTGCCAATCAGAATAACTATTGCAATAGTAGTACTTCTTTATAAAATTGTAAAAAAGTTTGTGTTAATTTAGTACTTATAAATATAATATAAATAAGTTTGTTGTCCCTAATGAATTTGAGTTTAAATGCAAAGTTTTTTTAGTAAATCAAGAATTCATTTCCCACAATATGTAACATATTGTTAAGTTTCATAAACGATATGGTATGTTCAAAGCATATCGAACTCAAAACAGAAATGTAGAGAAACATTTTAAGTCCATCCAAGATAATTTATTATGTATCAATTGAGGCAGTATTTATGAATAAACATTGAGATATATATTTAATTACCATACATTAGACATATTTAAAGGTGAAAATGTCAAAATTCCATACATTTATTATTTGCTAAAAACTCCACATTCAATGGTTTCACTTGAACTAAATCATCTTTGGTGCAAATCCGTGTTTGCCACTTGCATGTGGATACCTGAAATGTGACTACCTTATTGTATATCATGGGAAAGTGAGTTTATATTGATTGAACTTGTTTTTCTTTGTAACCGCTAACAATAGGTCATAATGTTGTGATTGCATTGTAGATGTGACTGCAATGTAAATTTAAGATGATTAAGATCTAACAAGATAACTGTTAACCACCATGAAAGATCTTGGATTTCTTATTTCAATGTTATATGGAATTATTTTTATTATTTCATGTTTTCCCTTTAGATCAATTTACAAATGAACATGTGATTCTCGATTTTATTTATGTCCTTAAAAAATTTTACCCCACACTTTTTGTGGTATATAGGTATCATCAAACATTGAAAGTCTATGTGCCATGTTCCAAACAATTCATAAGCAATCGTGAGTCAAGATCAACACTGCGCATGTGCTATTATGAGTAATTTGGTAACAATACGCACCACCACACATGTGCATGTGCTCACACAAGCCAAATGGAATTTCTTATTGCCACAATTGTCGAATATATAACCGAACTTGTTTCATTAGATTATATATAATATAGTCCTTATCGTGCAAGTGTCCAAGCCTAATAAGGATTTATCTTCGCATCCTCATTGATAAAATTATACCTAATTGATTACTCGTTTAAACTAGAAAAACACCTCTCGGCTAATGGAGTGGTGGGAATACATTTATGTATGATTCTACCCAACAAGGTTAAATTATATGCCCACGATGACACATGAGTTCCCTTCAGTAGTTTATAACTACACATACCAACTACTCAAGACTGTAGTACCACGCATATTGTTAGTGAGCTACCAATTAGCATAGCCTAAACATTTGGAGAACATTGGACATTAATTTGGATGCGTGAACATGGATTGAAGTCGAGATACTAGGTCTTTAAAAAGCAATAAGTAAATTGTTTTGATTACGACGTCAAATCTTTTGGGAGTGGGTATATGACACATCCTTGTCAAGGTGCACTAATTAGCTAGCTGGTAGGCGCAAGTATTGGTACTTTAGTACTATACTATTAATTCTAAGATGTAGATTCATTTAAATAGACCTCCAAGTTTAAATATCTGTAGTATAAACATTTTCCATGAATGACGAAACACAACCACACTAACCCTTCTATATAGATAGTTTGAAACCAATATTTTCGATGGACTTCTCAAACCGTTTGTAATACCACTGTTGTGCTAGTAGTTGCCACCACCACCACCACTGCCACCGGCATGGGTTCCATCCTTGTTGTTGCCACCTCACGTCTAGTGAACCCAGTTTGTCATTGCCCAAAACGTCTAGATCTGGTAGTAGCAAGCAAGGAGGAAGAAAGACGATAAGGAGATAGTGGAACCAGGCTCATCTTGGGAGGAGAGGGGCCCACTCAAATCAAGAGGAGGAATGAGATGGAGGGGTCTTAACTTATGGAGGAGGAAGAGAAGGCGTGCCGCATAGAGAGGAGAAGACATGCAGTGACTTGAGTGGGTGTTTGGGTCAGGTTTAGGGGAGGAGGTGGAGTAGGGTTGATTATATTTTATTTTTTTAATACAATGGAATTTTATATTATTAAAACACGGAGTATGAGTATAATCTATACAGCTCGGTTCAGATCCAATGGACAATAATATTAGAGAATGTTCTTTCTATAATACTAGTAGAATTTTTTTTTTTGAAAAATGTTTATTTGTTTTCCTTAGATATGACGTTTTGAATATCTTAATTAAGGATGAAACCTCATTATAGATGGGTTTGTACAGAAAATGTCTATAATGGCATCATGAGGATGGTTTTAAACACTATATATAATTATAAATCTCATATAAGCCTTTATACACTGATTAGTGGAAAAGGAATTAAGTTGCACTAGCCAGCATGGTAGCCGGTAGATCTAATCCAAAAACGAAGGCCTTAGAAGCTAGTATAGGGTTCCATATCAATTATGGGGTTGGGTTGTTCGTTTGTTTATGGAGAATGCGCACTTAATTTGACCATCTTGCTGTGCTTACTGATCGTGGAATTAAGGTGGCCTGCAGCGATTTGATCGATAGTGCAGCACATGACATGCATGTATATATGCGCATTGCTCGATCTACCAGCAGCTTGTGTTCCACTGCGACGCAACAGATATATATATATATAGTCATAAATAAATTCAAGAATAGTTTAATTTCAAGTGATGATCAATATAATTAACAAACCCCCGTGCATGCATGTATGTATATATGGGTATGTGATACATTTGGGACCAAACTAACAAATAGGCAGAAATGATGATGAAGTCCAGCAATTACTTAATTCACATACATAGAAGTACCTGTCCACGAATACATATAAACATTCTAAAGATCTAAAACGTGTTCACATATATAAGCATTTCAGAGTACTACATGTCCCATCAATTACTAATTTAAATTTCTCCGCATCTTCCTTAGTCACTAGTGGTGAATCTAGATAAAGTTACAGCCCCTTCCCATGTACATATAGCAAAAAATTTTAACGGGGCTTTGTGGGGGCTCCTATAGTACTCGTGCCAGTAGTGGAGACTCGAGATCCTGCCGCCCCCATGCTAGATCCGCCCCAATCACCCTCCTACCCCATCCATACCTTGTTACATTAGAGGCATCCAAGTCTTTTCTCCTCAATCTTAGTCTTTGCTAAACAACCTAAAAATGTTTTGGTATTTGTGAATGGAGGAAGTAGTATTATTAGTTTTTATAAATCATCTACAATATGGCTTCTCAGATGTTATTCTCTATGAGATACTCCCTCCGTTTCAGATTGCAAAATGTTTTAGTTTTATCGTCATAAGTCTAAGTTTTTTTAACTTTGACCAAGTTTATATATAGAAAATCAATTAGCATCTACATCAACAAATAAATACACTACCAAGATAATTAATTTCATGGTGGATTTTGATGAAACTAATTTGATGTTGGTGTATTTTTTTTATAAACTTATTCAAAAGTAACTTATAACAAAACTAAAATTAATACATTATAGAATGGAGGGATCATATGTTACATGTCTGAATATATATATCCTTGTGCATTGATCATGTTTGTGCTCTAAAGTTCTAATAATAGTGAAATCAATAAGCTTTTTTTAACGACTCGCACCAGATAGTGCGAAGTTAAATAATAGACTAGTATGACATATGTAGGTGGATGTTGTGAACGGTAGGCGAGAATATATTAATTGGTCGATCATCCATTCTAATTTGGTTCAGTTTGGTACACTAGCTAGCTACTCTTCTGCATGTAGTATATATCTTCTGCACGACTCTTCTGCGCGTGTTGTACACATCGATGCTATCTTCTAGTACGGGTGAGTAAACTGTACACTCCATACTGCTAAATACTCCCTCCGTATTTTAATGTATAACGCCGTTGATTTTTTAACCAACGTTTGACCATTCGTCTTATTCAAATTATTTATACAAATACAAAAATACTTATGTCATGCTTAAAGAACATTTGATGATGAATCAAGTCATAATAAAATAAAGGAATGATAATTACATAAATTTTTTTGAATAAGACGAAAGGTCAAACGTTTGTTAAAAAGTCAACGGTGTCATACGAGGGAGTACTAGCCAGATCGATCACTAGCAGCAATAATAGAGAAAACACGGCTGTTATGACTTCCCTGCAAAGCAAATGTTCCATGATACTATATATCATTGCCCTGTAAACCTTGCACGGCACAAGGCAGGCAGTCAAGAATAATATCCCTATTATATATTGCGGTTCGCTGTGATTGATAGAGCCAAGAGCTTGATGTGCCATGTGTTGTTAGCAGCGAGATCGATCGATGACGAGATGACGCAGCATATGTACTGTCAGGTCAACTGGTTAACTGAAATGTAACGATCAATTGGCCGAATTATAAGTCGACACTCGATCATCATCGATCAAAGGTTGCCGGCCGGGTTATATTAATTGCTGCTTCGGTGAGAGACCGGCCGCACATTCCTTGATGGTCCAAATGATGGTTTCACTTGTGCTACTATTCCACACACGCGTCTCTATTGCTAGTAGGTAAGGTATCATTCAGTAAGCAATATAATGCTGTGTAATCCCTCCGTCCCATGAAAAGCGAATCTAGCACTGGATGTAACACATTCCAGTACAACAAATCTAAATAAATGTATATCCAGATTCATAGTACTAGGATGTATCACATCCAATACTAGGCTGGTTTTTTTTATGAGACAGAGAGAGTAGTTATTAGCAAGCAAAAGCGATTGACTCGATCAATAGCTTTACCACTAGTACAGAATATCAAATATGTGACGAACAGTCACACATGTACCGATTCATCTTACATTCGGCATATACGAGACATTTCATATATACCCACCAACCCACCAGCAGGGGTGAGCATTCGGTCTAACCTAGAAATTCGGTTCGGTTTCTTGGTCTTTTTAAAAATTCAGTCTTCAGAATCTCAAGACCGAGCAATTCGGTCTTCGGTTAGTTCAGTTCGGTCTCGGTCATAGACCGAACTAACTATAACAAAAGTTTGAACAGCAAAAAAACAAATCAAATAATCAGTACAAGATCGATGAATCAAGCAATTAGGCCGCAGATGACACACTACAAATTGGTCACCAGCAAATCGAGCATGATTTAGAAAAGAAAAGAAGTAAATCGATACTGCCAATCTGCCATGACTTGAATCCATTGATCCGATGATCTCCTTCAGTTACCACACCACAAGAAGCTCCAGGGATTAGATCCCATCCATCCCATCGTCTCCTGCCGTCGCTCTTCTTGGCTTCCTGCACCGTCGCTCCTATCACTTTGCTCATGGCCGGCCTCTTCCACCACCGAGGTCTCCAGTAAGACAGCGACTGGCGCACAGCCACTTCCGCCTCCGGGGTGCGGTTGGCCTGGAGGCGGTGCACAGCGATGGAGGCGGAGGCGGGCTAGCTGGAGGCAACGCACGACGATGGATGCAGAGGCAGGCGGGCTGGCTGGAGGCGGCACACGACGATGGAGGCGAAGGCGGGGGCGGGAGGCGGCACACGCCGAGATGGAAGCAGAGGCGGGAGGCGGCGCACGCCGATGCGATCAGGCGAGCACGAAGGAGATGAGAAGACGGCGTGAATTGAGGAGGATGGGAATGGTTTGGATAGATGCGGAGCTGGAGGGTACCTCTCTGCCTCTAGGGTTTCTACCTAGTTAGTGGGCTTATTGGGCTAACTAGATTTATTGGGCCCAATTCGGTTCTTTCGGTCAATTCGGTTAACTGTAGCCGCTGACCGAATTGACCGAACAAATTTCGGTCTTTCACTAGTTGAGACCGAATTTCTCCGCCTCGTTCGGTTCTTCAGTTCGGTCTTATTCTGTCCATCCCTACCCACCAGAAGCCCGTATTGTAATATATAGGTTTCAGCTCCGAACTTCCCGTGAATATATGAGCGTATGGTACATATTAGTACTAGGCACATACAAGATATCCCCATCCACCATAAGCCCGTCCTGTAATATAGGCGCTTCAGGTCCAAATTTCCCATGAATCAACATGATGTATACCATATGCATTGCAGCTGGCCGTGCACCTTGATCAAGCTATATATGTAACTACTGCAGGCAGGCTCCAGCGACACACTCAAAATCTACGCTGAATCGAAAATATCCAAATATGGTTGGCACGGACCAACACACATAAAAGGCTCTTTAGCTTTAGCTGCCATCGCGGCCGGTACTATGTGCTATATCTATGTTCCATCGACGAAAAAGACACACGGATGATGCGAAATTTGCAAACGCCTGCACATGCATATCGATTCAGGCCGGCAGCAGTCATGCATATGCTCTCCCAATCTCCCATGCAATAAAATCGCTGCATCAAACCGGGGCGTTGGGGGGCGCACCGTCGTGGTCCCCGGCGGCGTGCGTGGTCGTCGTCGTGGCCGGCGGCCGTAGCAGCAGCAGCTGCCATAGCTGTGGTCATGCACGCACGTACGGCCTCGGGCATCATGGCAGGACGACTGACTGAGGTGCGGGTGTGGTTTGGAATGAACCGCGTCTCTGAGATGGTCTCTCAGCTCAGCCATCCAGCCAGCCTCGGCATTCGTGCGAAACCGGAGTAGTAAGGGTTTCCCAAACTGTCGGGGCCAGGGTTACCGCGCCCCAGAGGTAAACACGGTTACCACGCGGTAACCGTGAAAACCGTACGAAACCATGCAAAATTTATCAAAAATTCAAATTGTTTTTTTTAATTATATGAATTTAAAGAGGTAACCGTGGTTTTTCTATTACCATACCCCCACGGTAAGGCCAGTAACCGCGAGGCTATCGGCTACCGACGGTAATGTAAACCCTGCTAGTAACAGGCTTTTTTATTCAGTTATGCAGGAAGAGTACCGACCGAATAAAGATGGGGTGTTATTACAAATGCAGCTGCATCCGTCGAAAAAAGCATTTCAACATACAGTAGTCGCAGAGACCATTCACCTCTGGGACTTCTGGAGCCGGTTTTCGCCCACAGTTGCAAAAGGTTTTGGTCCCCCGGAGAAGGACGAAGGGGTGGCAGGTGAGGTCTTCCCCCATTGGTTGGGAGACATGGACTACCCCGGGATGCGAGCAGAACAAGATAGGACCATGGCCACTTGGCCGGCATCTTGGTTCCCAAACTAGCTGTGCCATTGGCTCACAATCCACAATCCCAACACACGTAGTAGCCCACTTTGATGTGTAGTACATCAAACTACATCTGTCAATGGGGTCAGAATCACTACAGTTCGTCGATGACAACGCTTTATGCTATGGCCCAATGGACACATATGGGCAGAGCAAAACCAATTCACTGCGCTTCGAGCAAAGCCATTCATTAGCCCAAGACTTTTCACCCAGCCAATCACAGATGTGGAGTCACAGAAAAAACTAGCAATGCACTCAGCCACAATTGCTGGCTTCCACATCCTGCTGGAGCTGGTGCGCTGCGTCCATGCCATCGATGTCTGTCGCGTCAGCGGTGAACTTCCACAAGATTGCGAGGGAGAAAACTCCCAACGGGCGCGAGCTGGATGCGTAACTGCCTTCGTACATGTTGCCTCTTTTCACCACGACCACCATTTCAGATTTTTCTCTGAGGAGGAGATCTATGACATGCTCGACAGAGGTGGACGTAGGAACACATAGCGGTGGTCCTCTCGACATTGATAGAAGAGGCGCATCGATCTGAGAGCAGATTTAAAGGATTTTAGAGCGACAAGAGAATACTATAATACCGACAATTATGTCGGCACTGAAGCTGTTAAGAAACATTATATCATTGTACAAAGTTTGATAGAGGTGTGGCATCCTCTTGCAACCAATCATGCTTCTAGCACTAGAGATAGACTGCCGATGAATTTTAAACGATAAGAGCAAACCTATGGTTCATCATGGACAAGCCGAATTTTAGCAAACTCCCAAATCAGTTGAGTTTGTTAAGGCTAATATAGCAAGAAAATTAGTGGCGTATCCTCTTGCAGCCAATCGTGCTTCTAGCACTAGATAGACTGCCAGCCATTTTTTAGTTAACTCCCAACTCCCAAATCAGTTGAGTTTGTTAAGGATAATATCGCATCCTCTTGCAGCCAATCGTGCTTCTAGTACTAGATAGACTGCCAATGAATAAAGGATAAGGGCAAACCTATAGTTCATCATGGACGAGCCAATTTTTAGTGAAGTCCCAAATCAATTATTGTTAAGGCTAATACCACAAGCAAATAAGTGTGGTAGCCTCTCACACCCAGTCATGCTTCTAGCACTAGATAGACTGCCGATTGAGTTTAAAAGGGTAAAAGCAAACCTATGGTTCATTTCATCATGGGCAAGCATTGTTTTTAGTAAAGACCAAAATCAGTTGAGTTTATTAAGGTTAATACTGGAAGGAAATATATACGCCCTTGAATGAAAATGAAAAACGACCAAAATTTGTTATTGGTTTCCTCCTTGTAATATAATCCTTGACCAAACTTGAACTGTTTGGAAGAGAAGCTAAGGTGGTTGATTTTTTTTATCCTAACACTGGTGACTGGTCCCTGCCGCTAAAACAAGTGCTAACCATTCCACTAGCTTTCGTGCAAGGATCAACGCTATTATTGCTGGTACCAACTAAAGGAGATAACGTACCTTGGTACAATCCTGTCGGTGAACAATACCCACGCAGCTTCCCCAGTCATCAACAATAGGAACTACAGGATCCTTGAAGAATCGCATGACAACCTCCTCCAAGATTAAGTCAGCATGCAATGGCTGGGTTTCTTGAAATGGAATCATATACTTCTCAACAGGATCATTCAAGACAATCTGTGATGCCAATAGACATACTTCAGATATGGCAAGCAGAGTGCAGTGGAGAAAGGGGTAGAAAAATATGAACACAGCAGGCACCAACCTGTGGAAAAACATGAGGTCTAAGAAGAGAGTTGGTGAATCCAGACAGGGTTTCAACTTTAACTGCCACCTGGTACAAACAGAATAAAATAAACTTAAAAAGGGGTGGTGCTTTACACATTACATTAGGGTGTGCTTAGTTCGCAAAAAGAAAATTTTTGGGTGTCATATCGGATGTTTGACCGGATGTCGGAAGGGGTTTTCGGACACGAATGTAAAAACTAATTTCATAACTCGCCTGGAAATCACGAGATGGATCTTTTGAGCCTAATTAAACCATCATTAGCACATGTGGGTTATTGTAGCACTTATGGCTAATCATGGACTAATTAGGCTCAAAAGATTCATCTCGCGATTTCCATGCAAATTATACAATTAGTTTCTGTTTTTATCTATATTTAATGCTCCATGCATGTGTCCAAAGATTTGATGTGACGTTTTTGGGAAAAAAATTTGGGAACTAAACCAGGCCTTAATAGAACTGTCAGAACAGAAAAGAACGTTTGACTTTATTTTGCAATGAACATTTGGTTATTTTCTACATGCTTCTGGAACCAGGTCCCAACTTCAAACTAAACCCGCAGTTTCACCCATTCAGAACAACATGAAAATATTCAACTTTTAGGCATCAGGAAAAGAAAAGATATAGTTCACAGGTCTTCCTATTTTTTTACTGTTACAACCAAATAGATTTTCATAAGACATTGACAGGATAGTTCACTTAAAAATAAGGCCATAACAAGATTGCACAGGCTTGAAACTTTTTTTTTCTACATAATATTATGAATATCTTATAAACTAGATATGCAATTTCACACCACTTGGGAAGCCTTAAGGTACAGTTTGCTGAAACCAATTATACTCTTCAGAAAATTTGCAGTATTTGTTGTATGGCTACAATAATGCACAATAGTGAGTTCAGAAACATCAGAGACTATGCTGACAAGAATTATGTAGTTCACCCGTGTAATACTAATGAATCTTAAAATATAAAAAATCTAGGTAAATGAAATTATATTCAAGAACAAATTATTCAAGCATACATAATGTGTTCAGAAATATATAATAGGGCGGGCGCAGCCAGACTGGAAGCGTTCAGTTTTGCATTGTAAGATCAAAACATGCCAAGAGCATGTAGGTTCACATAAGAAGTTAGGATTTCAAGATAATTGTTCCATGTCCATGATGTAGCTAACCTTTATAATCAATGAAGTGAAATACTATTTAAGAACACAATCGAAAGAAGAATACCATGCCTACTCTACTTGTCCAAGAGAAACATTCCTTCTCATTCAGTATTCTTCTTAGAAGTCCTCTAGCCATGTCAATCTGGGGGAAAAAAGAGTCTTTTAGTGGTAGAATCATGAAAATTTGAAGTCTATTTAACAAAGAAAAGCAAACACATCCAAGGAAAAAAAGAATAACAGAAATCCTAGACAGAGAAGCAAACTCATGAACATTGCACTGCTGTGTTATATTTGGTACTAATATATAGGCTAAGTGGCAGTTTAGCATTTAAAGCAGACCTTATTTTAAAATAATTCTGCTTTCTCAAGATATTGTGAACACATAACACTAAGCTCATATAAATATTCAATTAAGCAATAAAATATAATTGGAAAAAAATTCTTTGAGCTCAGGGGAGCCATTTTGTGAAACCAGCATAATGTACATTTTACTGTTCCAAAATAGTAAAATACCTAAAATTTCATAGAAATAATGCACATAAATTTATGTAATCATGAAAAAATTTCAATGTAAATTCATCCATTATATAAACAACATAAAAGGGCAACAAGTCAGTCATGCACAGCTCATATTAAAGTATTGTTTGTTTTCTTTCATTATTCACAACAGGGACATATATTAAACTAGGTGAAACCCCGCGCATTGCTGTGGGAGTTTACTATGATAATAATAAGTATAATGTGTAAGATAGCTTAAACAATATAAGCTTACATAAACATAAGTTTACATAAGTTGATGTAATTTAAATTTAAATAGTATGTAGAATGATGATTCAAATGTAAAAGTACGATGATGTGACTTTATGAGAGAACAAAAGAAAGAAGATAATTTAGACCATACATCTAAGGGCTAAAACATTGAGATGATATGGCTTAATGAGAGAACAAAAGAACAAAGGTAATTTAAACCATAGATTAATCATCTAAGGGCTAAAAACAATTGATGTGATATGACTTAATGAGATAAAAGAAAAATAATATGAACTAAGTGATGATGAACTATATAGGTATATATTTCATAAAAAAACTATATAGGTATATAGGATATTAAAATTGATAAGAGAGATATATTGAAATTTATGTGAATTATGTGGAATGATTTAACATGCTTACATTTTAAATCTCTAAAATTTAATAAATTATTAATTATAGATAATATAGCATGCTTGCATGATGCTTAAATGTAATAATTGTTCGTAGATGATAATGTGACATCTTTGCATGTTAAGCTTTAGGAATTAGTGACCTCTAACTTATAAAGTTAGAGAGGATTTGGAAGGTTCATAAACTTTATGACTTTATTGTGTTTTCGTTGATGAAAACACCAGCTCCCCGGGTTCCACATATGTTTTCCACAAATCACAATGCATACCCATCTATTATAATATGAAAAATGGGAAGAATATACTTGTAGTCAAATAATGAAACATCATGGACCTTTGAAATCACAAGAAAAGAAAATAAAGTTTTCTGTTCTTGCTAAAAAAAATCAAAGACATTGAAAAGGGTGCATGTTGGAATAAGTTGATTTATTGGATGAAAATTGTTCCTTGATCCCTTTAATACTAAATACATTTTAGCATTTTCACATTCTTGACAGGGGTGTCAATAGTTTAGACTAAATTTACACAAAAGGCACTACTGTTTTCCTACCTAGTATGCACCTCAAAACAGAAGATGATGCTATTTACCCATCCTAGTCAAAATTTAGTGAAGTTAGGAGTAAGATGACCAAAGTATTTCATGGTTAATAATCCGAATCATATTATCAAATAAATAAATTTCATGTCTACCTGATTATTATTGAGGGCAGCTTCCATTAGTAGTTCATCTGCCTCTTCTTTTGCCGAACGGCTAATTGATCCAACTGAATCTGGCCACATGCGTTTGTTCAGTCTCTTGACCATATCTAAATCACCTATGGTAGCAAAAGCTCTCATAATTGAAAGATAAAGATGAGGTTTGGGTCTCAAGTCTTTGTTGTTGCCAGCCTGCTTTATTATCTCACCAAAAATGCAAAGAGCCCCTACAATGGCACCACCACCAAAAATTAAACACCATATTAGAGCACATTTCAGTTATTGGCAGTACTATATTTCACAACATACAAGATTACACATTCCAATTTGAAGGCCATAGTTGAACAACATAAGCACATAAAGATGAAAAACTAAGTCTGTAGCCTAAAGAGCATAGATTGAGATAAAAGGCCCTCAGACCTAGTTGAGATATCCCTGGACCCAAGTGTCCTGATGGTGCCATGGTGGTAGCAGCACAAGGGCAGGGGAGAAGAGGGAGATAATTGCTTATTTGCTTGTTAATGAATAGCCATACAGACCCAATTCCGAACAACCTCATGAACAGTAGCCATGCGTGAATAGTAACCACATGGTTACGGTTCATGCGCAATGCCGCTGGCAAAAGAAAGGTTTGCCTGCTGCTTGCCTGCTCCTACATGGCCCCTAATGGGCTGCATTGCAAAGATTCAGTTAGAAATTATAACAAAAATGAAGACAGAAAGTGGGGCCTAGGCCACTCTTTAGTTAACAATATTATGATCACAACTAGAAAACTCTGCAGTGTTAAATAGCAAACTCCCCAATATAAAATGTTAATATCTTACCGTTAATAGACCCACAGGCTAGCAAGGCATCTACCATTGCTGTGTATGCCGTCCGGTCAATAGAAATAGGTGCAGATTTCATCTCCACCACAATCTTCAAAACTGAATAAAGGTCTTGGCTATTTCCTAAACCCTGCAAAATGCTTCAATAACTTGTACCGTTACAAACTATTAAATAAAAAAAAGATAGTGATACATTTTGAAACCAAACAAGCCTATACACAATAAATAAAAGGTCACAAGACATCTTTCCTGTCAAACATGTTTTTCAATATTAAATACCTCAAAAACTCTTTAAAAAGCAATATAATATTTAACAAAACATTCTAATAGAAGTAGTTTACCAGCGAATTCAATATCACTGTCTGACAAAGTAACCAATAAAGAAGATTTTACTGTAAACTTTTAACTATTATTTTTTGCTAAGACATGTACAGAGCTACTGCTGTCCACAGGTAATATAAGCTGGCAGGCGTCATACCTTAAGTAATGTTGTGTAGGTAACAGCATCTGGAAGGAGTTCAGGATTATTATCCCTTTTAGCTTCTTCCTGCATTGTAATGTAAGCAACTCATTTTCATTATACAGGCTATTTTGCGCAGATGCAAAACATTTTTGTGGCTAAAACTGGCCTTTCCAACACTTGTGTGACACCTTCATATCTTCCAGAAATCGGATAGCCATATCAATTTCTGCTGATTTTACACAGGCAGAAATTATGGTGTTGTAGGTCAATCTATCAGGCTTTAAACCTTGACGTAATATCTCATCTTTCACAGTCAAAGCTCCAAGAGGGAAGTTGCTTTTTATGTATCCCTATAGCACATTCAGTTTGGAAATTTGAGTGATTACGGCAGTGATTAAATAAAACATCTATATTAATAGTTAGGGGAAGAATAAACAGAGACACCTTCATCAGCAAGTTGTATAGTAAGACGGAGTGGCCTTCATAAAGGACTTGGCGAAAACGGGCAACAAGAGCATTGGCACGCCGCATATCTCCTATATAGATCGAAGTTCAATCTCATCAGTAAACAGCTAGCTAAGGTGTGTAAGAAAAATATTGATAGAGGAATAGGCCATAGAGCTATCAGTAGAATATTGTGGCTAGAACAAACAGTTGTGACAAAACTATTATACTCCCTCCATCCACAAAAGTTACACATATTACTTTTGACACCAAGACCAAGGAGAAATTAAATCACCTTGGATGTTACAAAATCAAGGAGTGAATGCAAGCATACAACCAATGAGTATCTAGATGACTCCTTGGGTTCTAATAAAACATTTAATTTATCTCTTCATTTAAGTCTTGAATGCATAAAGACTACAAATAGGAACAACTTATTTGGAAAAACTCAAATGTGAAATAGGTGTAACTTTTATGGATGGAGGGAGTATCATCCTAACCACCGTGCGCATGCACCTAATCTAAGTCTATACTAACAACCACGACAATCATTTGCTAAAACTGATCAAAGGAATCATTTCTAGCCATTGAAAGACTTAGTTCAATAACACTGATCACTTGTTTATAAATACATAGATAGATTTAGAGACCACGAATCTATATATTCTATATAATTGGAACCCCTTAGTGTACTTATTTCTATATAGAAGCCACCTCATGAGGCCACATCATCACATATGAAACCTTGGATGGTGTCTTAACAGTTCAGATTAGCACATAATCTTTCTAGCCTGTATGCGTCCTTTTCTGCTGCTGGGTTAATTAGTCATTTCTCATATCCATGTATTGCAATTTACAACTGTATATACACACTAACATCCCGCAGCAACGCGCGGGGTGTCAGCTAGTATTGTATTCCAATAAGTGAGCCAATTAGATTGGAACCTATAACTGTTCTGATACAGAGTTGAGTTTCATGAATTAGCTTTTCATTCAAGAAGAAAAATAATTCAGAATACCTGTGCATCCTAGTATTCTAATAACAATTATATACTGAAAGATAAAAAGGTAAATCTTGTACCAACCAGCTTCAATAAGGGCATTTAGAAAACCACAAATAAGATGAGGAGAGAGCCGGGGACTCCCAATAGAGGTATCTTTCTCAATTGACTCCAGTATCTCAAATGCGTCATCTATCCTTCTCGCTATCCCCAGACCCTTCAAAAAATAGAAAATGTAGCAGAATAAAAATATGGATGTAAAACAACTTCTACAAAATATTATCTAGGAATTGGGAACACTTTGAGATTTAAGTTAATCCATTTGAGTAAACTGTACTGGTTGTCCTTAAATTTGTTTGGTGCGCTCATCCTGGTCCCTAATCTTTGAAATTGCAAATTTAGATCCTTAATCTTATTAAATGTACCACAAGAAGTCCAAATTTATGATGCCTGCATCCAGCTAACGTGGCATGCCACATGTAGCCACGCTGCAAGTGGGTCCCTGGGCCATGGATGTTAGCAACAGCAACAGAGGGAAATGGTGGGCGGTCATTCGAGAAGACGGGTGATTTGGTGAATAGGAACAATCGTGAAGAAGATTTGGATTGCAGTGGGCTTTCTGCGAGATTGACCATGTGCACAAGGACTCCCTTACAATGTGGCTACACATGGCATGCCATGTCAGCTGCAGGATGCGGTCGTGTCGAATTTCGACCTCCAATGGTACATTTAGCAAGACTAGGGATGTAAATATACAATTTCAAACATTAGGGACCGAGATTAGAGCACTGCGCAAGTTTAAGGACCACCAGAGCAATTTACCCAATCCATTAATAGGTGCGATAATTCTGAAGGATAGACTCTTCGAGCAAAGAACAATAAGAATGGAGTTGTTAATCAAGAATTGGCACATTGAGGGCTCAGACAATCTGACATGGAAATGACATTTAAATAAAGTTACTGGGAAAAGTAAAGGGGGGTGAACAACTTTACATTCACCCATAAAAATTCCAATTGATTCTTGAGAGAAAAAAATATTAAAAGGAAACCTAACCAATTTGGAACATTTTCTTTTCCTTTTGTGAGGTGGAACATTGATTTCTAATGGAAACAATATTGTTTTATCTCAGATTGGCTGCTTCTTACTTTCTTTGATAGAATATGATGAATTTAATTACCACACAAGAACTCATAGAAGCACCTAGAGTCTGTTTTGGGCCAAAATGAATAGGTTGATGAGAATTTCAGGGAAAAAATATATAATACTGCTCATAGATAGCCCTGCTTCTCTAAACTGCTTTTTGGTGTAAAATGTGTTGCCACAGTTATCATAACAGGAACAGCTACTGGTTAAAGAAAACATATATTCTGTTTGTGAGAACTACTTGTTTTTCATTAGCAGCATATGATCACTGAAAACAACCAAGGAGCTTCATTGAGTAGTTTGGGGTATCTATATTCTAGAAACAGCAATTAAGTAAGCAGTCACACATTAAAGAATACACATTCCTCTATTTTACACAATCACACATTAAATAATACACATTGTTTAATGAATTGCGTGTGCCACTCAGTTCAACCCAAAAGCTTAAGCCAACAAGGAAAGGCCGGGCAATTCATTTGTACTCCAACATCGTTGTCTTATCAATGTGCATTCCGTTGTTATAATCTTAGCATCACAAGGGAAATCGGTCGGGACTCATGTCGTTAGCCCCTTCCACCTCGTCCCAACTCCTAGTTCCCCCAAATCCTATCCACCACCAGCCGTCATAAGACGCGACGCGCTACGAGCCTACGAACAAGGGGTGTATGTATGTATACGTACATACATACATACATACATATATATATATATACGAACAAGGGGTGGGTATATATATACATATGTATGTACATATATATATGTATACATATACATATGTACGTACATATGACATATATATATGTATATGTATACATATATATATATACATATATATTATATATATAGGTATATATATATATATGTATGTATATATATATATGTATGTACGTACGTACGTACCTTGAGCAGGATGCCGTAGGAGACGCCGTCGACGCCGCACCCACCGGGGCCGCGCATCTCGTCGAACAGGCTGAGCGCAAGGCCGACGTCGCCGCAGCGGACGCATGCCTCGAGCACGGCGTTCATGACGATGGTGTTGAGCCCGGCCCCGGCCCCGGCCCCGCGGTCGACCGCGCGCCGCCTGGCCGCGCCCACCTCGTCCATGATCTGGGGGAGCTGCCTGCGGCGGGTGAGGTCGACGATGCGGGAGGTGAGGCGGCGGAGGTCCGGCTGCGGCGGCGGGGACGATGAGGGGGCGCGGCGGCGGCGGCGGCGGGCGCGCGGGGGAGGGGCGGAGGAGGAGGAAGAGGAGGGGAGTCGGGAGGAGTCGGGAGGAGGGGAGCGGCGGGGGGAGGGGGAGGAGGGGGAGAGGAAGCGCGGCCGTAGCAGCATCATCTCTCGATCGCCGGCGGGCTGCGGCTGCGCTCCGAGACGAGCGCGCGGGGAGGGGAGGGGGATGAGGGGAGTGGATAGAGCGGTGGGGGAGATGGTCGGCTGTCGGCGTGGCGATTCCCGCGGATATCTGGGCCCGCTCGCATCTCACACCGATTTGTGGACCCTGTGCGGTTGTTTTCTTTTTTTTTTCCCTCGTTTCGAAATGTTTGACACCGTTGACTTTTTATCACATGTTTGACTGTTTGTTTTATTCGAAAATTTTAAGTAATTATTAATTCTTTTCCTATCATTTGATTCATTGTTAAATATATTTTTATGTAGGCATATAATTTTACATATCTCACAAAAGTTTTTGAATAAGACGAACGGTCAAACATGTGCTAAAAAGTCAATGGTGTCAAACATTTCGAAATGGATGGAGTATCTAAAGGACTCTCTGGTACTTCAGATGTATCGAAGTGTATCTGCATGGTAATTATTCTACAGTGTAACTATAGTGTAACTGTTGTAATTATGATTTAACTTATTAAACCTTGCATTTATTGGTTAGATAATATTGGGATGTTAAGCATGACATGTGCGAAAATTTCTTTCTAGCAATTTTTTTCTTTTCATGCACAAATCTCAAGGCTATCTGATGGTCACAAATCTAAAAGTTTTGGAGGCAAAATTGTAGCAAATCCCTTTTTTTATTAAAGTGTGTTCACAGTATACGAACATATATGGTAGATGTAAATAGGTGCAACAATTTATAAAGTGTTTGTTTCGATACAATAACTTGCGTGATCCATACGAAATAAGGTCAAAAGAGGCCACATAATCAAAATGAGTGATATGGCACTGAGATGGGTGCTAGCTCCGATAAATGCAGCCCGCTCCTGCCTCTCTTTATTTTATTTGCAAAAACCCAAAGACAAAAGCATAGAGATGATATTTTGCACAAAACACCACAATCTTGCCTTACCTATTAACCACATCCGCCCAGCATCGTACAGGGGAAAGGATCTAAATAAAAGAGGCAACCTATGATCATGAAAACTGATTACTGAGCTGACCTAAATCATCAGCAACAAGTGTGGTACGAACGCGGCCAAACTGACGAGGTCAAAGAGCAAACCCACAATTAGGGATCGGCATTAGGCTACACTGCTACGTTGGTTGGTGGTGGCTATGCCGGCCGGCCGGCATGACACCAGCTCTGAGATCTCTAGATACACATGCTCCAGTTTACGGTGAGATTATCTTGACATAGTGCCATTGTGTTTGAACTTAATTCATACATTGTGATATAATATTTGCTCAGATTTTGATTGAGAAACGTGAAATTTGAGTTGCGTAAGGGTATTTCTTGCGAAAATAATGCTCCATTATTTCTTAGGGTTTTGCAACTTTTTATTTGGATGGCAATTCGGTTCTTATGATGTGATCTTAGTAGATTATGTGTCCTATTTATGATCTATATCATTTTCTATGTATGTGCTATCGAAACCATTGCCATCGAAGACGGAGGGCTAAACTAAAAATCTCAATGTTCTTGAAATCGAGCTCGCCATTGTTGATAGATATACTAACTTTCTCTCACGGAAAGAGGGTAGTGGTAGCCATTTATCTTCTCCTCCTATTTTAAGAGGAAAGTGTTGCAATGATGATTGATCCATTTGATTACCCTAGACCAAATGTTCAAGGTGTATGCCTAATCCAGTAGCCCTGTAAGGGAGGGTCGATATCAATAACAACATTGTACTTATGCATAAAGTACAGTTGGCATGCAATATATTTTGATAATACACATAAGTTGTGTATATCTTTGTATTAAGAATGGGTGATGTATATCTTGCTAACCTAGCCAACAAGTGAAAAAGAAAAATGAACACAAAAGAGTACACAATATTACCTCTCACGACATCGATTGTCCAACCAAGCTACCACTATGACGCTATGTTAGTAGACCCACCAAAAATGCAACTTCTTCTACCAATCTCACACCATTTTCGTCCAGGTGCATTGTTATTGGTTAAACACTCAATTGTTCATTTTCCTTCGAAATCAACTAGGTAGCCAAAGTGATAATCGTGTTGAAACCTCGGCGAAGATGCACACTTACTTTCTTCCTACTCTTGCACTACCATTAAAAGAAGGAAGTTGTTGTTGTTGAGAAACAGGACAACTACCTAATGGCATTTAGGATCAGCCACTGGAACTGCCGATATTCTCAGCAGGCAATGTGGATGTGATCAATGGTTTCTTCCTGTTGATCACAGAGCACACATAGGGGTGGGTGGGATATACCTTGCTTACTCAGCCGATCATCCGCCCAACATCAACGGTGAGCAACAAGCAACGCTAAAGTACTGGCAGTGTTAGGGGCTTTGCTTTCCCAGATTGGGGCTGCTGGGAAGCTCACACGCCTAAAGAACATTGTATTGTAACTTGTAAGTAGACCCCGTGGAGTAGTAGCCAGAGCTCTGCCAACGCCTGGTGATGGAGTATGGTTGCTCTTGGCTCAAAACAACTGAGGAAATCATCGGTCAGGCCTTTAGGCAGTCCATGACCGTCTAAATAGTTAAGCTTCCCTAGAGGTCATCAATCCAACGCCGGTCACTCAGAGCCTCCTGCACCATCCACCTCCATCGAATCCTTGTCGGTACCATCCGATGAAGCGGTGGTGCAAGACTTTGGAGGTCAGTGCTTTGTAGCCATTGATCTTCCTTGAAGAGGATACTCTAATTACGATCTCCCAACTGGCAGATGATGGATGCTACAGCGAAATCTTTCTCCAAGTTGGAGACCTGCATTGGTAGCCCCAGGGGCAGAGGCAAGCCTAGGGCAACTTGGGCTTGAGCCCTAGGCTTGCCTCCAAAATCATACATAAATTAGGTTAAATCACCATGTAATGTTAGATAAAAATCAATAACTCATTAGTTAAGCCCCAGGTTAGCCCTACTCTTTAGTAATTTGTGGCTCCGCCACTAGGTAGCCCCCACCACAGCTTTGTCGTTGTCTGTGCATGACGACTAGATCCACCGAGAGCACAATGAGACCCCTATAAGATGTAGGTTGTGAATGTTCAACCCGTCGTACTACTTTGGAGCACAAACTTTGTCCCAAGCGAGCCAACAGTGTCTTACCCTACCAATCCAAAGGAATTCTTAGCGAATTCGATCAATCCCCTTAATCACCCGTTTAGGTGGTGAAATGATGATTAGTGTGTAGATGGGAATAGAGCTCAGAACTAATTTGACTAGTGCTACTCTCCTGGCAGGCGTGAGCTGCCCTACTTTCTAGGATGACAAACGTCTAGCGACCAAATCCACCAGGAGCTGGAGATCTTCTTCCCTTAGCTTCTTGGTCAACAGGGGTATGCCTAGGTATTAGTAAGGGAAACACCTCACCTCGTAAGGCAGCTCGCTGCGGATGAGCTCGATGTAGGGGTGGTAAAGGGCCTAACATTTTAGCCTACAAAATTTGAGGGCTAGGCCTAAAATGGGTAGGTTGAATTTCTATTCATTTTCGAACTAAAAGTATATGAGGTCTAGGTAGGGTTGTGAAAGAACTCGTGGGGATTGATCCATTACCACCCCTAGCTCGATGTCATTGTCGCTCCATTTGATCAGGATTGTTGACACACTTGCTAAAGTTTGTCTGCAACTTGTTGCCTCCTCGAACAAGTTTAGTATTTTCTTTGCCACTTGGAAGTCTTGGTTGGTCGCGGAGAAAGAGCACCACATTGTTTTCCGAAAGGGATATGCGGTGCGGGATTGGGATCGGCTGCAGTAAGCCCTCCTCTTTTGCCTTGGCAAACAAGGTGCTTAAGGTATCCATCACAAGGACAAACATTAGAGGTGAGATCATATCGTCTTAACGTATTCCCTGACCGTGCTAGATCATCCGCCCTAGTCACCATTGAGGAGTAAGAGTTGGTATGCAATATGCATTATCCCGTGAATCTTAGTTCAGTGATGGTATGCTACATTGCATGAGTAAAATGACGCTTTCTACTAGACATCAGTGAATGTAACTTAGTAGCTGATGGCAAACATAAATAGTGGTGTTTCTTTGACTTAAGTGAAATTGTAAAGAAAATCTTGCTACTTGACAATAAATCATATAATTGACCTTTTCTTGATAGCATATAACGGTTATGTTTCCTTGTTGCAACTTCTCTTTGTATTATATTATTTGGATGATTTTCAAATGGGATAAGTCCATTTGACAACTCCGAACTCTTCGCTTTGTCTAAAATAAACCCCCAAACTCTAAAACTGAGTATTTGACACCCTCTAACTTTTCAAACCGTCTAATTTTAGCCCCTTAGTGGAAACCAACGCAAATTTTCTTATGTGGTGCCTACATGGAAACTTAGCTATAAAAGAACATAAAAAGGTGGGACCCGTAGGCCACCTCCCCTCTTTCCTCTTACTCTTCTTCTTCCTCTTTCCTCTCCTTCTCCTCTTCGAGATGAATGACGAGGGTAGAAGGCCGTTGATGAGTTCCCGAGCTTAACAAGTAGAGTAGCGAGGCAACCTCCCTGAGCTCAATGAGGCGAGTGCCGACGACTTCCCTGAGCTTGTGTAGCAGGCCCAGCGGCATCGGCTCCTTCATTGAGCTTATCGTGGGATCGAGGTTGTGCTGCTGGCACTTGTCTTCTCTGACCTCGGCAAGTGGGTGTTGGGGGGGGGAGAGCTCTGGGTCTACGATGACAGCAACACTTGGATAGGACGAGTGGCAGCGGATCTCAGAGCTTATGATGACATCGAAGCTTGGGTAGGAGGGGCCGATTACTGCCCATCAACCCTCCTTGGAACTTGCTGGTGATCCCGTCTTCTCCGTGCTCAGCAGTTCCTCTTCTCCAAGCTCGCCGCCAACCCCCCTCTTCTCTGACCTCAGCCAAGGGGCAAGCTCCACATCGAGCTTGCTGCCAACCTTCCTTTTCTTCCGAGCACGACCAAGGGGGTGGGCTCGGCACGAAGCTCTCCGCCGACCCCTTTCTTCTCTATGCTCGCATCTAGCTCGCAGCTCCGTCCATCTCGTCATGGCTGCCTCAAGCTCATAGA